TGGCCGACTACAGTTTGAGTCCCGGACCCGGTGGTTTGAAACTCATGCTGGCTGCATGTGCGTGCGTGCCCAAGATCCTGGGAGGAGAATGGAGAAGGGATTGGAACATAACCATTCCCCCGGGGGATGATTTCTCACTTTCCCTCCAAAAATCTCTACCAAAAAAAAAAAGACTTGGGCATTTCTATATCACAATGTGTTTTTATATTTTAACATTTGTATTTTAATATAGCATTCACTTTTCTGGAATGTGGTGCATTTCCACCCAGTTCTGAGCAGTGGCCCTTCCTCCGCGGGTGTGCAGGATGCCCTGCTCCGCGCCAGCTCGGAGGCCCTGCCCTGAGCTCTCACCCTGCCGCATGCCCTTATCCTCTGCCCTCTGCCTGGTGCCAGGCACCCTGAATTACTGCCCGCCGGAGCCCTGCCCACAGCCGCCGCGCCCAGTGCTGGGAGGGCAGGCCGCGGAGCTCAGAATGATGCTGGGGGGGAAGGGAGTGGCCTCACCTCCATTAAAGGAACCCCACTGAGGGTGGAGCTCAGTGAGGGCGCGCGGGGGTCCACGTGGGAGGAGGGGAAGCACCTGGACGCTGTGGCATGGAGCGTGTGCCACGGCGTAGCTGCTGTCCTCTTGCCAGGAAGGATGATTGGCAGGTGCTGCTGTGGGAGGGAGAGGGCGGTCAAGCTGATCCCAGGTCTCTGTGTGGTGACTGTCACTGTCATCGAGAACCCGGGAGCAGGCTGGGTGGGGAGGTGGCTGGTCAGAACTCACATGTGCTTGACCGAACCACTGTCTACTGGCCATCTTGTGGCCCAGCACCAGGCTTGCCGGCTGCAGAGCTCAGAGGCCCAGACCCGCCCTCCGCCCCGTACGGCCTTGCGCCCCCCGGCAGGCTCCTGCTTCAGGGTGGCCTGAGTATGCATGTCACCTGCCAGCTCAGGTCACCTGTCCGTCTCTGATCCAGGCAGCCCCAGCCCTCTGGTTGGCCAGGGTGGAGTCCTGTGTCTACCTCACTGGACCCCAGGGGGCCGTGGCCCAGTGTGGGTAGGGGAGACATTATCCAAGGATGACCCCTGACCCCTCTCCCATTCCTGAGCAGAAGGGTTACATGGGGACATGCGTTACCTCTGACATCCATGCATCCCACAGAGGCCATCTGGGGCCTCGCACACCAGGTAGGTGGACACAGGCGGAGCAAAGGGGTGCCCATGGTGGGCAGGGCTGAGAAGACACGCATGGTCTGGGAGCAGCTGGGCCAAGCCGGGAGGCCCAGCGGGAAGGAGGAAGCAGGGCCTGCAGAGTAGGAGGGGGGCAGTGGTAAGTGCCCGGTACTGAGAGGAGGCAGCAGGTGCCAGAGCCAGGGTGCAGGGAGTGCCTGAAGAGGAAAGTGCTGGATGGGGAGGGTTGAGCCGATGTCCTGAGGCTGATGCACCTCCTCCACTTGACCCCAAACTCCTTTTTTTTTTTTTTGGAGAGGTTTTTGCTATAGGGTGCGTGCACTCGCCAGAAAGACAGAGAGAGACAGAGACAGAAAGTGAGAAATCACCTCCCAGGGGGGATGGCCACACCGCGATCCCTTTTCTTCCATTCTCTCATGATCTTGGGCATGCACGCACACGTGCCCGGCGTGAGTTTAAGCTACTGGGTCCGGGACTCAAACCGTGGTCAACTACATGGGAGTCCAGTGACATAGCCATTACGCCAACTGCTGGTCCCGACCCCATTCTTTTTCTAATTTCTTAAAATGAGAAACGAAGTAATTGATTTGAGACTTTTCTTTTCTTTTTTTTCTGTCACAGATGTCCCTAATTGCTACTTTAAGAACCGAAGTAATTGATTTGAGACTTTTCTTTCTTTTCTTTCTTTTTTTTTTTTTTTTTCTGTCACAGATGTCCCTAATTGCTATGTTACCTACATTGCACATTTTGGTATGCTGTGTTTTCTTTTTCTTAGTGTAAAATATTTTCTAGCATCTAGTTTTTTCTAGCATTTAGTTTTACTTCTTGTTTTGACTTGTACATTATTTGAAAACATGTTACTTAGTTACCAAATATTTGTAGGTTTCTAGTTTTCTGCTATTGGTTCTTATTCATACTCTATTCACAATGTACTCAGAGAACACATTCTGTATGATTTGAGTTCCTTTTTTTCCCCCTCTTTTTAGATTTTTGCTATAGGGAGGGTGTGTTTGCCAGAGAGACAGAGAAAGTGAGAAATCACCCCCCAGGAGGGATGGCCAGGCTGCACTCCCTTCTCTTGTCTCCTCTCAGGATTTTGGGCATGCGTCCACATGTATCCGGTCTGCTTTTCAAGCCACTGGGTCTGGAATTCAAATTGCTCAGCTGGCCCCGTGGGATCTAGCACCTCAACCTCCACACCACCTGCTGGTCTTTGAGTTCTTTTTCATTTATTGATACTTTCTATGGCTATGAATAGGGCCTTTTTTTGGTAAATGTTCCATTTGTATTTGAGAATACTGTGTGTTCTGATGTTATTGGGTGAAGTATTCTAAAAATGTCATCAATGTCAATTGTATTTTTTATGCTTTCTATATCCTTACTGATTCTTGGTCTAATTGTTCTAGTAATTACTGAGAGAGAAATGGCGAAATCTTTAATGGAGCATTTGTCTTTCTTGTAGTTCTATCAAGTAGGTTTTCAGGTCTACTATGAAGTATATAAACCTTTAGGATTACTTCCAGTTGATGAATTGGCTCATTTACCATTGTAAAATGATTCTTTTTATCCTCGGGAATATTCTTTACTCTAAAATATTCCTTGTTTACCATTAATCAAGCTAATCCAGCTTTCATTTTGTTTTTCATTTGATGTTAGCGTATGGCATATCTTTTCCTTTTAACCTATTTATGCTTTTATGTATTTAAACTAGTTTCTTTCAAGCAGTATGTGTGTGCCATTTACTTTTTAATATAATCTGACAATGGCCTCTTTAAAAAAAATGCGAGGGCACGTGTACTTGCCAGAGAGAGTCAGAGAGACAGAGGAGAAAGCACTGCCCCTGTGTGGAGTGGCAACTCCTCTGCACCACCTCCCCATCAGCCCAGGGTTCCGGGCATACACATGTGCAGCTTGGTGTGTTTTCAGGCTGCAGAGGCTGGGACTGGCACTGCAGCTGGCCGTGTGGAAT